AAAAAAAAAAAAAAAATGAAGGACAGTCACAGAGCATGCATCACACGATATTTAGTATGGTTGCTATTAGGAAGACCCAATGGTTAGTTAATCATATGCGTACTTTCAAAGTGAAATGTCATACTCTAAAAAACAAAAAGTGTGACATTTCATAACATAAGTATCATTATAACAGTTGCCTCGCACAAGAATTTCTGAACAATTATATTTCAAATAACTGTAAACATAATTCCAATAAACTTGAACAAGATAAAACGTGATTGTTCACTGACATTTCAAGATGAATACTTCAAACCAGAAGCCCAAATGAACAAATTCTCAATTAACAACAGAACCATATCAAGAACAAAACTCGGCTAGAGTAGTTTGATTCCAAGTATACATGATCGGTCACCACGATTTCAATAAATACTTCAACCCAACAGCCCAAATGAACAAATTCTCAATTAACCAACAGAACGACAACAAGAACAAAACTCAGCTAAAGTAGTTTGATTCCAAATATTTCGAGCTAGACATGATAATTCAAATTAAATCAAATTCGAATTCATAATTAATATTCAAATCAATTAAATGTTACCCAATGATAATACTAAAAAAAAAATGCCTATTTTCCCATATTCTTCTCACCGTTGCGTAGGCCGATGCTAGACTCTTCGGTGTTGATGTTGTAGAGTATTCCTTCATACCTGATTTCACTCTTCGAGGTCAAGCTTATCACGCTGCCTATGTACGTGTCCGCCGATGCTCCCCCGCCGCCAGATTTACCGGACGCCGCCGCGGTTGAACTCTCCGCAGCCATCTTCTTGGGCCTCACTCACAAACTAATTTATGTCGGAAGTTCACCGGAGAGAGTAACAGATGGAGTATAGTACGGATAGACTTTTGAGCCTTATTTGAAAGTGGCATAGTGATGTAGCGAAAGCCTGTACAAATGGGAAGATAAAATGGGAAGATAAAAGGACATACTCTCTCCAGAACACGGGATACTCTCCCAAAAGAAAACACGCATTCATCAAATTCTCCCCTAATAACAAAGTATAAGACCCTTTAAATAAAGCCCCTAAATTAAACCCTAGCTTATTCTTCAAGCTACTAATTATTAAATAATAATAATAATAATAATAATAATAATAATAATAATAATAATA